ACAAATCAACAGAAATTGGAATATCAGTAAGTGTTTCCTCCAGAACGAATCTGATGCCAATTTACCGTCTCCTGAGGACAGAAGCTTGGTATCCTGGAAAAGTCAAATTTTGGAACCGCGCGCGTGGTAAGCCCAATTGCAACTGCAGCGCTCAGCACCGTTTCCTACGAATGGTGTGTAACAACTTGTCAGTGGTGACCAGTGATGTGCATTATTCTCTGCGTCAACTACCGAAGAACTATATTTATTGATGCCTCTCATTCGAGGTCGTTTCCATATACAGAATCAGTAGATAAACCTATTCCTTCTTGCTTTTAGCTCTACGCCAGGAAGAACACCGCCTAATAAACATAACAACGACGAAAGCAATAACAATAACAACACTCGTAACGATAAGGAAGATGTCGATCAGATAATACGCTATGAATGATAAATGTCGCCCATAAGGGTCGAGGTTGGGTAGACGTCCAAATCTGGAAGGAACGAACGTAATTTCGAAGATATTATTTTTACTGCCAACCAAAGGTATTCTATTAGCAGAGCGACACAGGATAAGTGGGCAGTAATTTTCTAAACAAAATCGCCATATCTTCACGTGTTCAAGGCGGAACACGACACTTGCATGGGAGGTCACGAATCCTCTTTGGAAAAATGACCAGCTTCATCAAAAAGCGCTTCCATTTTTGTTCTAAAGCGCGTTGTAGTCTGAGTAAGGGCAATACTTTATTGCTTACACTCAAAAAGAGCTGCTGCGCGTCGCTCCCCTACTGGCAAGAATATAAAGCTCTCACATAATCAACTTACTTGGCTGCAAACTCGCTGTGTCTAATGAGCAGTTGCTTAGCACTGATAGGCTGATTCAGAAGCATCTCTGACAGTCGCTTAGCGTTGTTGGAGAAACTAAAATGATCCTCAATCGGCAGAGTAGTTCGTACAATTCGTACAGTCGTCTTCCGATTTTTATTGCACACTAACTCGTACCTTGCATCATCGAAGATCCTTTTTAGAGAGTCCCTGAGTGTGTGTGGCTGCTCCAATGCGAATTTGTTCAGAACAATGCCGCCGCCGTGTTTGGCTAGCATATGAGCATTTCTGGTCTGGTCAGCAAAAATCGGTATCTTAAAAAATGAGTAACAGCCACTGATATGCCCTTCGGTGAAACGCGAAAAAGATTTAACGATCAATTAATAGATTTTATCAGCCTACCAATATTGCAGGTTTTCCTAGGTGGGCGAGCTCGGTGGTGCTGCCCAAGCCTCCATGAGTGATGAAAGCTGTTAGACGAGGATCAGCTGAAGTTTTTCATGTTCATTCACTCCTCAACGTTTTCTTCTACGCATTTTTTATACCAGAAAATTTCTTGGATATGGCAGATTCGTAGTTCACTGGGCCAGAAAACAATAAAGAGTAAGAATGGTAATGATCAAAAGGGATGTAATCTGGGATGGTCTGTCCTCTGCTGAAAAGAAAAACTGTGTAGAAACAGGACACGTCCCACAGTTAGGGAAAGTTGTGTGGAATCTCTCAAAATTCCCTTTTTGGTACAGCCACCTTTCAATCAACTCTTTGAGCTTTTCATGAGTTTTTCTGACAGCCCCCCCTGATCAAATGCGATCTTCCTCGCCAGAAATCGAGGAATACGTTGTGCTTTGCTGGGAAAGCAGACGCAGAACGGTAAAAAGCACAGCAGAGAAGAACGAGCACGGTCTCCGGAATCCATGTACAATCTCATTCCCTCTGCATTTTGTGTACTTCTGTACTCTGTACTTCTGTAGTTTCTTCCTTGTCTCTAGCAATTATTTTGAAGGAGACTTACCGAGGAGAGCGTTTTGTGGTACCCATGTACTAAGATGAACGTTCTTCAGGTGAGCAGCTATTTGTGCATTTTCTTTCTCGTATTTCCATATGAAAGTGGTCTCTGGCATGCTTTCGAAAACTTCCAGCAGAGTGTTCCTAGAAGACTTGAAGTTTTCTTACGACATTGATGGACATATCTCATGGGGAGCTCACTGCGATGTAATCTCCCAATTGGATGCGATCTTTTGCTTTCACTTTATTTCTAAGGAGTTTCTGAAAGTTTTCGCAGCGGCTAAAAGCACTTAAATGGGCGGATAAGTATAATAACAAAGACGACACGCAGGTCTTTGGTTGAAATCTAACAATTGTTGTGAGGTGACCTAATTGAAACTTTTTTGGCGCCTCCTCGTTTAGAGAACATTCCCCTTACACAACACATGACGACTTACCTATACTCATCTGGCATGTATATCGATTTGGCCACTGAGCCAAATGACACCAGTACTGTTGTGTTCCTCTCGTTCAATATGCTGTCCCATTCCTGAGGATTCAGAGTTAGTAAGGCCAGTATAGAAAGGAAGCAGGATGAGCAGAGCAGAATAGCTAGCACCTTGGACAAAGCATTTTTCTTGGGGTCAATATGGACAGCGATACCTCCGATGGGGACAGTTTTGTGAAGCATTGGGCGAGGATAGTCGAGGTACGGATTGGAGTTGGTGAATACATACGATGAGTCCGCAAGAATATCCTGAAAATGAAGATTCGAGGTTGTAATGCGGTGCTTGATAGGGTGTTCAAAATTCTATTGCGTCGCTGGAGGTTGGGCGGTACAGAGTTGCGCCATCGCCATACACCTTCCGTCAGAATCGAGAACTCAATTTTTCAGGTCGATCAATCCCTTGTCCAAGGGCTGATTTTGAGCTGAGCAGATTCTGAGCTCGTTATTCTGTGCGTAGTGACCATGCCAAGAGATTCAGAGTCTACCTTATCTCGCGTGGCAGGACAGAGCTTGCCCTGTACAGTACCTGCCCTTACTCAACACACAAAGACCACTCTTATACGAGTTTACTTCATAATTTATCACTTATGCTTGACTATTCGATAGTAGTGATGTAGCGTAACTTTGCTAGCTGCTATCTATGCCCTGCGCGACTCCAAAAACGATTTTCCCGAATTGGAAGCATGAATTAATCCTGAGGATCTACCAAAGCTCTAGAAGTTCTCGTTTCCTGGTAGCTGTGTAGCGCGCACATAGTACAGCAGCCGGTCGCAATAGGTTCGTGCAAACTTGAAGTCAGATTTATAGGATTGAGGCTCTCGAAGAGGCTGCAACCC